CAGAGAGCGGCCGGGCGCTGGCACAGCTGCCCAGGGGTGGGCAGTCCCTGTGCACGGAGGTGTTCAGAGCCGTGGGGATGTGGCACTGAGGGACGTGGGCAGTGGGACTGTGGGCTGGGCGGGGTTGGGGTCTCAGGGAGCTTTTCCAGCCTGCACTGCTCTGCCATTCTGTTATTCTAAGCTTGGATTTGGGAAAGCCAACCAGGCCTGGAGTTTGCAGTTCAGGACTGAACTGGCTGATTCCACTGATCGCTGTGATGTGACACAGGTGCAACACAGGAGCGACACGAGCGTGTAGAAGTGCAAAGTCAGGGCCCGAAGCAGTGATGGAGCACCTGGTGGAGGCGGAACCAGCCCAGGGGAGCTCAGGTGCATGCAGTGCTGCTGAGTGACCTGAAGGGCTGGAGCCAGGATCCACCCCTTCCAGACCTCATTTAAGGGCTGGCAGTGGCTGTGTGGGTACCTTGCTGGAGATCCCTGCCTGCGGTTTTCCAAAGGTAACCAAGTTTTTTTTCCTTTGTTTTTGCGCTCTCAGTTGTTGCATTTCAGCTTGTTGTTCTTTGCTGTAACCTTGGACTTTACCAGTCTGCTATTGTTGCTGTATTTTCTATTGTGTTATAGTATTTCAGAGTGCAATGCAGGAATTTAAATTAAATTAGGAAAATAAGCAGTGTTGAAGTGTCAGCTGTTCCATACACAGCACACGACCCTCCCAGTTGAAGGCACAGCGAGGACACAGCTGTCAGTTCCACCTGTTATCTCTTGAGGATGCTCTGCATGTCCATGACCTGACTTCACAGCTTTTAATTTAAGACTTGTGCTGTTTTCTTTTATGGCATCTTGGGTACCTTATGGTAGATGTGCTACGAGTTACTTGTTATTTAAAACTCTGAGAGTTGTACAAGGCTCAAAACTGAAGAGTGTAACTTAAGAATGGTTTTCTAAAAGCAAAGAATAGTTCTTAAGGAGTCTGTGTGTGCAAAATTAGGAAGAACAGCTCTGAGATAAAAAGGGGAGAGCATGCTTATACAAACAGTGATTTTTCTTTGCTGAGGGATGACTTTAGTTTTTAAATATATTGTAAGTGTCTGAGGATGGGTTTTCACTCTTCTGTTCCTCTTCCTGTTACAATCTGTAGGAGAAGCACGGAGGTGCTGCTCTATGGCTGTGCTCTGCCTTCCATCCTGTGTCACTTCTCCCTCTGCACTAATGTTTGGGCAACCAAACCCATAGTCTGCATTTACGGTCTGTGAGGTCTGCAAGATCTGCTATTGCAGGAGAGGAGAGGGAGATAAGGACTTGACTGCGTGTAGGAGGGAGCTTCATGCCACCACCTTCCTTGGTTTCTTTACCTGAGGAACTGGTGGTGCTGCAGTGTTGTTGTTGTTTTTAATAGCTGTTTTTGCTTCATTATAAGTGTAGTAATGAGTTTTACCTTCATGAGGACACTTCAAATCAGAGACAAACTGCTTTCCAAGCAGCTAACCACAGTGCTCCAAACACGTCCTGGTGTGTGCCTTGGAATCCCAAGGAGTTTTCCATCTAGTTGTTACCCTCAAGACAAGATCTGCCTGCCCATGAGGCTTATCCCCTGCGTAGCTAAGGAAATTGGAGTTTTAGTGTTGCTTTCCAAAGAGATGAGCATCGGATGCTCAGTGCCACCCATGGTCACACAGGTGTTTCTCCAGGCACTGCCTGCTCCTGCACTGCTGCCCCCAAAGCAGCCCTTGGCTCTGATGTGGGGCTCTGCCTGAGCACTGCCCAGCTCTGTGCCTTAACTCCATTTTATCTGAGCAATAATTGAAATTCTCAGGAGGAGTGCTATCCTGAGCAGAGAACTGGGTGAGGTGTGTATGCACTGAATCAGGCAGCCCTTCCCAGGTGTTTATGTCCACTGGATTTTGGCTCTCGCTTTGATTTGAGGTAGGATATTCTGGCTCTAAATAGCAAACCAGGTATTTGGAGCTGTTGTGCCGTGCTGGCACATCACAGGATCATAGAATAATTAAGGTTGGAAAGGACCTCTGAGGTCACCCAGGCCTGCAGCAATGCACAGGGTTGTTGTAACTGAAGCACAGGACCCGGCACTCGTCTTGTTAAAACTCTTCCCACTGGCCTCAGTCCATTGATCCAGCTTGTTTTGAGCTGTGACCACTACAGGCCATGCCATGGATAGGAGAAGTTTAAAAAGGTTCTCCCAGGGTTTCATGATGCAGCAGAGAATCCAGGTCACAATTCATGGTGTTTGGCTGTGGCAGAGAATGTTTTCATTTGTCTGAATTTTTCATGATGTTCCAGTTTGGTAACCAGTAGTTTTGCTTATGCTCTTAAATCCCATCTGACAACATCTAAATGATGAAAAGGAGATGGTTAAAGGGGAAATGTGAACATTCACTTTGGAGAATTTGTGGAAGGGAAAGGGGAGGAAAACAACACTGCTGCCATTAAACACAGTGTTGTTCTATAGGCTCTGTGCTGCAGTGGTGGTCTCTCCTTTGGGCAGAGCTGCCCCAGGTGCTCACTTCTATTGCAGAAGTGGCATTCATATTCAGTCTGTGGACATGCAGGGTGTTACATAACCTTTTCAATTTTCGTTCTGTTAACACCATTGCAAATAAATTCTAATTTATTTTGCATTCTAACTCTCCTTGTGCTCCTGAATAATTCAGACATAGCTCTATTGTTGTCGTCTCCTCTGTACCAGAAGAAATGTGAAATAAAATGCTCGCTGTCTTGGATCAGTTTCCCTATTTATGAACCAGAGAATGCTGGATCACAATTGCCCATGTACAGTTATTTACAATGGTGCAGAATCAGTTCCAGAAAAGCCAAATGTTGCCCTTCTTTTTTCTCTCAGAGTGCAGTATTTGTCCTTGCCTGCAGTGCAAAGGTGCTGGAGGTGCACTGTTTCTGCAGCAGATCTGTTTGTGTGTTCTATTTCTGAAACTGGAAATGGGGTTCCCTTCCTGCTCCTTGGGCACACGTGCCTTGTGCCACTGTTCACAGCCAGCACAGTAACATGCAGGGAAGGGTGTTCAGCCCTCAGTGGGCAGCTGCACTTCAGAGCAGGAGTGGCAGCGCAGATTGCCAACCACAGCAACTCAATTGCAGTGATTTCATGGACGTGTGCATTCAGTAATGGGTATTAATCATCCTGGGGAAGAAAGAAAGGCACACAAACTGCTCTGTAGTGGTCCAGTATAGGAAGGGAAAACCGGGAGAGAAGTCTGCCTTCTCACACACCCTGGTCTTTGTTTTTGAAATGAGGACCCTTAATAAAAAGCTGACTTGTAAGGTAGGTTATTCTTTCAGTCATCTCTGCCTGTGAGTGCTCCTCTAAAGGGAGAAATGTGCAGGCGGGGTGACCAAAGAGGTTATCAGGAACAGACTGTTCTCAAAAGCACCAAATTGTTGTTGTTCCTTTTCATATTTTTCTCTTCCTGTTGTCTTTTTGTATTTTATGTTTTACTAAGAGCTGAGCATTTAAGCAGTGGAAGTTCTGGTCGTACTGCATGCATGCCTGTCTGTTCCTGCAGCCTGTTACCAGCCAGTGGATGTGATGATTTCCATAAGCAAAAAAGGTCAGCTGGGAGGAGGCTCTGCTCATATGGAGGGAGTGGGAGGCAAACCTCAGGCAGTGCAGCACTGCTGCTGTCAGTGCTGTGCTCAGCACCTGTGGCCCTCAGTGCTGTGTGATGGTAGCAGCTGGGGCAGGGTGGTGTGAGAGCTGCAGAGCAGGCGATGAGCTGCACTCCTGTCCTCTTACTGAGGAAATCTGATTCAAGTCTGAACCATAAGTAGATAAACTGCACTTCAAGGCGCATGATGGTAGAAAATAGCTTAGAAAATCAAAGATGACATGGCTACCCAATAGGCCAAGCATGAGATGCTACTTAGTCGTCATGCTGCAGCCTTAGAGAAATGAGGATAGCGTGGCTGTTCCACCTGGATGGGTGTGAGGAGCGGCTTGCAGAAAGGCAGGGAGAGATTTGCAAGAGGCAGAGCAACTGCTCCAGAACAGTTTGTCTTCTCCTGTCTGTGCTTACTTTGCATGTTTTTTTTCCCTCACCGATTTCAAGAGATTGGAGTTTCATTTCATCAGCTGTGACACTGCTCTTAAAAGCCCACATCTGTAACACTGGAGGTGCTGAAGTGTTACTGTGCTTCTTAACATTCCCGTGCCTTCCTTACTGAGAAGGAGGCTTTTTGTTTTGAGAATATCCCTTAAAAGAAACACACAATGTGTTTGATTTCTGGTGCTGTGAGCAATTCAGCCTTTCACCTTCTTAATGACTTTTTTTCTCTGCCCCTTTCTCTCTGTATTTGGGTCAATCCAGTGTTTCTGTCAGAGCTGTGCTGGTAAGATTTACCATTAGAACTTAACGTTTCTTTTATGTGCTGGAGGAAGTTGCAGAAAATGGGCTTTTCAAATGTTGTTCAGTGGTTCTTATTTTAGAAAAATGAAGGGGAAAAAAAGTTTGTTTACCAGCTTATCTGAACTCAAAGTAAAATGTGAGTAATGCAGGAGCGTAGCAGTCTGAACAGGTAACTGGGCAGAGGGGAACACCTCTCTGAAGCTCAGCCGTCACTTATTTCTCTCATGGCATCACCTTACAAGGTGAAACACGGCGTGTGAAATCGCAGTAACGCCTCACGCCGGCAGTCTGACCTGGCACCGCTCTTTGTAGCTGCGGGGGGCGCGGTGGGGAGGCACTGCTGTGTGATGAACAGAAAGACTGCAGGTTCTCAGCCACAACCCTGAATCCTGGCTTTAAAGAGGAGTCTTAAGATGTGATTATTTGGAGCTGGGTGTTCCTTGTTGTGTGTAGCTGTGTGGGTTTGCTTTTTTCAGAGGAGAGGAGTTTTTGCTTTTCACACTGCACAGTTTGCTTAGCAAGGAGCAGCTCCTCTGTTCCTGGATGCGATGGTGGTTTTTCCTGTTAGCCCTTCCACCTGGAGGGAGCTGCTGTGTCCATTACTCCAAGGGTTTGTTTCAGAAGCAGCTGCATCTCCAAAGCCCTGAGATGAGAGCTGCTCCCCCCGGGGCTGCATGCTGCAGGTAACAACACTGCTCGCACAAATAATTGAATATAAATCCTATTTTTCTTCTGTTTGCTTTGCTGCGCTCTCATGGTAACAGTCTGACTTGCTGAGGGCTTTGTTTGGCAGTGGTGTCCCTGCAGGGGAACGCTATGTAAGCATTTGTTTTCATTAAAACTCGGATGAACTGACAATTCCAATGAATACTCCGCAGTAGTGAACCTGCAGGCTGTTGACTTAGCAGCGTAAGTCCTGTTGGCGTTTTCCCAGTGTGAAAATGATGCACAACTTAGGGAACGCAGCTGGCTGTGTTGTAGAGGAGGTGCAAACAGGCCCATAGTTGCAAACCTCATGACTGAAAAGGAGGGGCAGTTCAGTCAAAGACCCGCAGCTGTTAATGTGGTTCTGGTGGTCGGTGGGCGCGGAGGCGCTGCTGTCAGCGCTGCAGGGCTGTGTG